AGCTTAGCAGGGGTTACGTGAAGTTATTTGACCTTGATGTTATTCTTTTATAGCCTTAGCTTTTTATTTAAAAAGTGAGAGAAGTGGAATAATTAATATGTTGAGATTATCCTGCTGAAACAAAAACTCAAAAGTTTCATAAACGTTTGTTGCCACAGAGCTTATTTCTGCAATTTTTAACTGCCAGGTCAGCTTACGAAAGATAGTAATTACTGCACCACTATAAATGAAAGCCCCTGCTGTAAAAACCACCCTGCATATTAACTGTTCACCTGGACAAATCACTCTGCATGCATCCAGCCATTACACAACAACACCTGCACTGCAATCACTGCATGAGGCAGGCAGCTTTTGTTCTGCGGGACACCTGGGACTGTGCATGAGGTTTACAGCCCCTTTCCACACAATGTGTTTCACCTTACTTGTTGAAAGGTAAAAACAGAGCTTTTAGGTTTAAAAGCGGTCTCCAGCTGGCTACAAACAGCAGAGATAGAGGTCGATGCTCTCTAACGCTGAGCAGTCTACCCTTCAAACACTCAGACAGCCATGAGAGCCCCCAGAGACGTTTCTGTTCTGTATCTGGCTCTCAATGCTGCTGCCCTTCCCACAAACACACAATCACACACACACACACACTGAGCATTTCATATTTAATTCATATCAGTGTGCTGCTTCAGTAAAAGTCCCGACTGCCTTTGCACCTGAGCGTCAAGAGGTGAAAAACACCTGAGAGGAGAAGAAAGAGAGAAGACACACAGTTCACCGTCAAAACAACTTCATGTGCTTTCAGGATTTAATTGAATTGAAGGCAGCCGGATATCAGTGTCGACAGATGAATCACTTCCCATTCATACCTGATCTAGGCTGTTTTAAAACTCTGAACTTTCCTAACAAACTAGACAAATTAGCCCAGACACCATTATATGTGGGGCAGAGCTGTTTAATGAAGCCTATAATAATGTAATTTTCCTGTTTGTCACTTTTTGAGACACCGTTTCCTTTGCCACAGTATATCATTTAGCTGTGGTTCAACCAGACACCAGCAATTCAGCCCCTCCTCTGTGTAATCTAAGCATAAGGGAAATTATTCATTAGCGTATGAGAGAAACTCAAATTTGGGATTTTAGCCATTGCAGACCATTGACGTGCACAATACCTATATAACGCACTACAGGAAAAGGGAAAATGCATAATAGGGCACTTTTAAGATTTGGAAAAAGCTGTTTTTCTCCTGACTAATAAACTAAACTTTATGTAAAAGATCAGTAGCTTACCCCTTGTAGCTTCTTAGATAAGAGCTCTAAGTTGATGAGCGCTTCCTCTCACTTTAAACCTTAAGGGTATGTGCATATAAACCAGAAGAAAAAAAACCTTGTGCATAGGATTAATAGACAAAAGGAAACAAAAGCCCAACATTTGCACACCTCCAACTATGATCTGCTCCAGCTTCAGCGTGGGCGAGCTGGAAAAGGATGAGCACGGGTTCAGTCATTTCAAGAGGTTCATTGGGTTCTTCACAGTAGCCACCCACCTACTCCAATAACCACAGCACACACACTCAGCCCCGAAGAGACACACTGCATGTGTACAAGTGGACAGCAGAGGAACAACCCTGTGGGCAGCACAATATTACCCTCCAAAACCTCTTTATCTGAGGGATAAATTAAACAAAAGACAAGGATGTGTTCACACTCAGGAGACCATCAGCTAGGTGCATTTAAGAATGAGGTTCATGGTTTTATAATCCTGTCTGCAAGTCAAAGAGATGTACTTTTTTCAATAAAATGACCTCCATTTAGGCTGATTTATTTTGGCTGGATGACTGACTGTGATTTGCTTCTTTTTTTAAATCAGATCTTATTAGCCAAGCTTGAAAGAGAATAAAGAGTATTGTTTAAACCAAGCTGTAAACATTTTTGAAAATGGGGAATGTAATAAAACGATGGCCACTGTTACTGAATTGTTAACCAAAAATAAAGGCAAAGTCCTCAAATCCTCTCCTAATGCCACAACAGAGCTACATGGCAGCAGCGAACGCCTCACCTGCAGAGTGAGAGAGCCAGAGGCAGCGTGAGCTCACGGTAACACTGGTTTTCTGCTTGGATAAACTTGGGTCAAACAAGAGGTTCACATGTTTAAAGTAAAAAATAGCACCGGTTCATCCACTGGTAGTGATGCGGTGTAGTCAACATTCCTTTTGTTTGGCTGACAAGATTCAGCACCATTGCCACATCATATTTGCACTATTGAAAGTGAAAACATTTGAATTCAAAAGCTGAGAATAATTTACATAATGATGCCCTCCCATGTAAATCTCGGTAAACTTACAATCTGATCATCGATTGCATCTGACATTAATCTGTGAATAACTCATTACAGTAGAATCAAGAGGAAAAACTGAGCGAGAAAAACTCTGACCAGCTAAAATTATTTCGGATAAACTCCAACAGGTCAGAAATGTTGGTGTTATCATTGACTGACCTTAATTTGCAGTCCTAAATTGAAGGAATATTGCGAGTGTCAGAGAGGATCTCGCAGGCAGCCAAGTTAAAACATGCCTTTATCTCCGGCAGGCTGGACTAATGGAACACATTTGTCTGTCGAGGAAAGCTTTTGGACAGGTTACAATTCGTACAGAACAGTGCTCCGACGGAAAAAAAACAGTAGATTGCTTCGATCCCAAAATCTTTTCATTGTAGCCAGTCTGTCACCGAACTAATTATAATCGTTTATTGAATCACCGAATGGCTCTGCTTCTTGTCTGACCTGTTTAAAACCTAAGTGACTGGAGGTTGTAAAGGCTTTTATTCATCACATCTTTTACCATTGTTTTTCCTGCAGAATTTTACCTGATGTCATCTTGTCAAAGCTTTTATTTGTTTACCTTTAGCCTACATTTTGATAATGTAATTTCACATTTAGTGCTTGTTTTAAGAATAATGCTATACATTAGACTAAAAACTGTGATATTAGGAAAATGTAAGAGGGGTCCGAGCCTCTTTAGAGACAAATGTTGGGAAACGGACATCCTTTAAGCCCCGATCTGAATATTGATACTTTAAAACTTAATGAGGCACTGTGCGCTTTGCAAAAAGTCAATGCGTTTGTTTGTGGCAGTGATCACAGGCAAAGCTGAAATATGCCAGCAACCAGACTCAGGTTTAATTATGTTCAAGTAAGCCGAGAGCAACTATTCTGGTGCAGCTTTTATACCACTAACAGTGGTTGGTTCTAAGCTGTAGAAAACCACTAGCAAACTCAACATGTTTGTAAAATGCAGGGCTATTGAAATAACTTATGAAATGTTTTAAGATGAAGTCAATGTGATGTCTGTCTAAACACACCCTAAACAAAGGAACATTTTTTATCACTCATCTCGACACCGTGTTGCCCAACTGTGAAATAGAAAACTCATTACTGCCATCTAGTGGGAGGCCAGAGCAATGTCAAGGCAAATAACAATTTTATTGAATTAATATATTAACATACAAAAGCATTGAATACAACATTCTTCAAGATGACCCATTTAAACAGCAGGGTAAGACACTTCATCTGGAGTAGACAGCTCAACATCCTGTAAACACACAAATTAAATTAATGAAACACTCGTGTTCAAATTCACAGATGCTGGTTAAAACATTATGCCTCCACCGATCTTACCGTGTTCACGTCTTCAATGAGCACTGCTGTCCCCTGCATCTCAATGTCGCTTTCCGTGTCATTGTGCGAGCAGTACTCTTCACTCTCAGTCTCGATAGAACTGGGCTGAGAGATTTATCAGCATTAGGACAATGTTTGCTCCATTATGTGGCATTAAAGGCTTTTTTGTTTTTATTGTAGTAATAAAGTCAGCCACTTTGAAACACCTTCATTTCCCCTCAGAAATGGGAGGAAAATTAAATGTTTACCATCCTTCAAACACAAGTTTGCAGCTCAGTTAAAAACTGGAAAGAACCGAGATCATGCGCTACCTTGACCTTTAGCACTAACCTCATAGTCGGGATCCACCTCGAGGTCCTCGTCATTAGCGAGCTCCTGATTAAGCGCCTCCACCCAGGTCTGACTCTCCTCTTCTTCTTCATCCTCATCCAACTCAGCCTGCTTTCTCTTGCTGCCCTTTCCACAAGGTTTAGTAGGAGAGACTCTGATTTCTGTGGGGAAATAAGCATATTTAGAAAGGTGCCTGGGGAGAGTCATGGTCTTGCATGACCATCAAAAGGTCAAGCATGACTGTTACACCAACAGTTTTCTTTCAAAGTCAGAAAATGCTGCACTTTTCAGGGAACAGAAATCTAGCACTGGTTTCCCTGAGTAGTTTGTTAAATGTTAACTTCTCCTACACTTGTCAACAGCGATAGACCAAGATCATCCCAAGTAGCAGGGCAAACAATTAGCAACATTACTAGCCAAATAGCCAGTAGGTTCAAGTCACTAGCCAGCTTCCCCAGGACACTTAAGATTAGCTGGTAAAAAAAACAACAACCTTAACACACTTTAATGAGGCCAAAGGAAACATCCTTCCCAATGAGAACAATTAGCAATACATTATCGTTGCATGAGTTGGGAGCAGTGGTGTAGATTTACACAAGTACAATTGTGAGATACTTGTACTTTACTTGAGAATCTCCATGTTATGCTACTTTGAACTTCAATTCAGAGGTAAATAGTGTACTCTTACTTCTGGTACTTACATTTTGAATTCAGGACTTTTACTAACAGATTATTCTTACACCTGTTTACTACTTTTACTGAAGTACAAGATAGGATAACTTCTACCACCTCTGGATTAGAATCAACTCATATGAGCTTAACAAAATAAAAATAAATGGGGCAACGTTTTTGGTATTGTAATTTAGTGGTCAACAAACAAGGCCTGCTTTCAACAGAGTAAGATTTTTTTTCACAACTCTTGATACCTGGTGAGAGGGAGAGCCCGATGCTGCTAGACACCGGGTATCCCAGTTTACTCTGCACCCAGCGGGGCAGCACGGACAGCAGCAGGCGTGTGACCCGGTGAAGGCGCTTGCGGCCGGAGAGGCTCTGGCGTCCGGGGCTGAGGACGGCCTTCTCCTGCGGCTGCCGGTAACCCAACATCCACCAAAACCCGCGGTATGTGTAAACCTGTAAGTAAGAGCCATTTTAGAGTGCATGTAAAGCGAAGTTGGATGCAACGGTGACTTAGCTGCAGCTCTTACCACGATGCCGAAGGGCCAGAGGAGGCCGCGCAGCACGGAGCGAAACACGCCACCGCTTCTCACCACGCTGTCCTCCTGCAGAGACAAAACAGGTGAGAACTACCATTTACGAGTTATTACGTTAATTCATATGTTCTCTAGGAGTAGCATCTATAACACTTGTGTAGAACACCGAGATTTGATGCGTCTTTCCACCATTACGTTACCTCAGTAAGACTGTTTTCGACCTGTTCCAGCTCCACGGTTTCTGTGCGGATTTCACAAGTCATCCTGGTGGGTCTGCCGGCCTGCGATGAAGAGGCGTTAAAGGGAGTACTGGGTGGTGTGTCAGTGTATGTGTGTGAGTTTTGGAGGGTAATATGTAGGCTACCCTGAAGTTGCGTCTGTTTAGCCAATCAACAGGGACGAATGCACCTGGCGCAATCAGAGAGGACCAATGGAGAAATCCCGCCAATTAAGCTGCAACCGCCAGAGAGATGGTGGTCACATGACTGGGTTGAATTCAAAAAGAGGTCACATCATCCCAGAAATGCATAGTGAACATGCTGCAAAAAGAACCATAAAACCTATCAACTAAGATAAGAATAAAGGTTTTAAAATGAATTAAACTAAATTATCTAAACTTGAAAATAAACATGTATGTTGGTAAAACAAAACTTGTCTTGATAAAACATTTTAAAAGATGAGAAAACAGTTTACTGTAGGATTTCCTTTCCCACAGGTTGCAGCTTTATATGTGTATATACAAAAGGTTTATATATGTGTATAAATAAGGTTTTTATTTATTGATTGATTAAGTCCAAGTGATATGGACTATTATACAAATAAACTGTAGGCTACCCTTTTAGCGATAGGCTTTATCAACTATTTTCAGAAATGTTTAGACCAAACCTGACTATAATTGAAAATATAATCAGCAGATTACTGCTAATAAACATAGTCAATAGATTTAGCTTATTGCAACCGTAAACATAGCCATAACCATGACAAATAAAATGGTTATTTGGCTAAAATTAGTAACATGTTCTGTCCTGACGTTCTGAGAGGTAGAGAGATGATGCATCTCTGTCTGCTTGTTTGCATATGAAGAGGTTTAAGAGCGAGGCCCACCATTATGCTCCCTCAAGCTCCCTAATTGGTAACCGTTTCCGCTTCTGGCTTTCGTCACATTTTGTTGATGCATTTGGTGGAGGACAAAATGTGCAAAGTGGAGATGTATAAAAGCTGCCTGTTGTCCCCCCTTTGCAGTATACAACCGAGCCTGTTTGCAAAGACAGTGAAAGACGTTCAGCGATGGATCACAACACAGTCACACGGACCTTCAGTTATGGAGCTATTGGCAGTAGGACTGAAGCTCTGGAGGATTGGTCCACATCACGCAGACACAGCAGCGCAGGGATCCGTGCACTCCTGTGGGCTACCAGCAGTGCATGGTCCCTCGGGTGTTCACTAGGATCGGACTTCCAGACCAGCCGGGAGAACATTTATCCAAATATCCTGACACCTGACAGTATCCCACAGTTCACTATACCAAGTCTGTCTGTGCAGAACAGCTTCAGATCATTCGACAAAGAGACAGACGAGGATAGTGCAAAGACAAATGATGGCTTAGGGAGTTCTGGGACTGATCTGGAGTCATCTTTATCTGCGTCTCTGGCCTGCTCCACGCTCTCATCAACCACATCTTCCAACAGCCTCACTTTGGTTCTGTCAGATCGCAGGGCCGAGAGGAGTCTCTCAGACCCGTATTCCCGGAGGAAATCTATTCTTCAGAGGGAGGCTTCCTATGATTGCTCCTTCTCCGAGGCCCAGCACTGCCTGGACCCTTCCAGCAGAGCTGCACTCTCCCTGCCACACTTAGCCAAAGTCACCACCCCGTACGGCTTCGTCACCTTGAGCCAGAGCCCACAGATGGCGAGCGAGGAGGCACTTCTCTGCCAAGCTGGGCTACGGCACTTAAACAAGGGCGAGGAGACTGCATGCGCTTATAGCAAAACTCCACTGACAAGGACAGTATACAACAAAGGCAACTCCCTTTACCTGTCAGAAGACAAGAAGAGAGTGTTTAAAAAATCAACAGACTCACAGAACAAAGAAAAATCAGTTTCTTCAGAGATAAAGGCTGCCTCTAACAACAACACAACAGTTTCATCCTCTTCTACACCCAAACAACCAGATGGCAAGCGTAAAAGCGGTTCTACAATGATATACGGAAACACTTCATCTCCCACCATTAGAATTTAATCTTGGGATTGATTTGTAACAATGCAAAGTGTGTTTTAAACGTTTAAACTGTGTATTTATTCATTTAAAAACATGCCAATGTACACCAATGTTCTTGTGAAATACAAAGCATTTGTCTTGTGTGAGTTGACAAAAATGTCAGAATGATAAAGCTGTGAAAACTTTGTGAAAAATGTCACTTAAAAAATAATAAACAACATAAACAGACTGCTTTTATATTGTGTGTACTATGTTAATGTCTTATTCATTTAAAGTTCCTATTTCATGTGTTGAGTAGCTTGGAGAATCACCTTTAAGATTCCGGGCGGAGTGAGTACTTCAGATCCACCATAGTGTTTAAGGTTAATGAATTCCTCCACTGCTTTCAGGATCTTAAATGTCACTCGCTCTCGGGCTGTCGGCTCCTATTCAGCCCCTTGTTGAATACGTCTGTGTAGTTTCCACGGTTAGCTGGATCTCTAAACCTGCATGAGTGTGTGCTGGTTCGTCCCTCAGGCAATTGTTGCTCCTCAGCATACGAAGTGCGTCATTGGAGAGACCCTTAATGATGGTCGACTAATGCATCCTCGAGGAGCCCTGCGCACTCCACACTCCCACACACTGAGATTTAGTGGGTAAATATCATTATGATGCAGAGTGCTCTGCTCTTGGAGCAGTGGAGGGCAATGGAAAATACAAGAATAGGTGTGTGGACACAAGAACATCTAAAATGATAATCACTCGCCATAAGGTTTGTTTATTTGCATGATATAAGCGATTCTACATTCACATTGTGGGCCTCATAAGGGTTTCCGCTACCATTTAATTCACAGCTCATTTTCAGTCACTCAGATTTTTTTTTTTCAGAACATTAAGCAATAGGACAATCCACATTTAAACCCAAAAGCAAGTGTTATAGTTGTACATGCTTTATTTAGCCTGTATCTTTGATCTGTATTGTGTTGTGTTTATAATATTTAATTTACCCCCAGGCCATTATATCCCAATCATTTAAATGGGGTGAACAAAATGCAGAAAATTCAAACCTTCTGAAAGCTATGGATTTGTTAAATGTATTTATACAGGAAATAAAATGCAACAGGCACTCGATTCTACAAAATAATAATGGAAAGAAAAAATCGTCAAGACCAAAATAAATAAGATAAAAAGGTAATATAATAATAATAATAATGCATTTTATTTCAAAGCGCTTTTCCAGGTGCTCAAAGACGCTTTACAGTGGTTTGATAAAACATGATAAAATAGAATAAAGAATATAAATAAATATTAAAACAGCAACACAGCATAATTCACAAATTAAAAGCCAGTCTGAAGAGGTGTGTTTTGGTCAGTGTTTTGAAAGTGGGGGGGTCGGTGCAGTCTCTGATGTGTTGTGGAAGGGAGTTCCAGAGGGTGGGGGCAGCGATGGAGAAGGCTCTGTCCCCCCAGGTTCGGAGCTTGGTTCGTGTGGGGATAGAGAGGAGGTTCGCTTCTGATGAACGAAGGCTGCGGGAGGGGGTGTAGTGGTGGATCAGGTTTACCAAATAAACTTGCTACTGAGTATATCTCTGGAAGCCAAGAAAATGACTTTATTATATAACAAAAGTCAATCAATATCAATCAATACATCGATCAATTTAATAAATGTATATTGATAGAGAAATCTAAATCAAGGAGAGTCTTTTTCATTGTCATGAAATATTTTTCAAACATTCCCGTCTCCCTCCGGAGGGATTGTAAGAGGTCTGGTGACATTTTGGATTTGATTGACACTTATTTAATGACCATTTGTAATTACATCAGTCACAAACATGTTTACACGTTGTCATTGTGATTTAAATGAGACAGTGTTATGATATAAATGATTGTGGAAAACCCTTTGAGAGACTATCACCCTTAACCCAGAGGATGTGAAGGATGGGAGTACTTCAATAGAACACAGGATATACACTCCAGCGCAACAGCACACACAATGGCAGATAATGTATCATAGACACATGCGTGGGAGTTTTTCTGTGGATCACTGACGTCACAAAGGTGTTGTATCATCGCAAGATGGTCTCTAGTGCTGTTTTGATTTGATTTTCCAGAGCTGTGCTACAAAATTAAAGCTGGTAATGTTGAATATTCAAAAAGGTCTTTATTTTTCTCATACGGCCTGCGCTGCAGCAGCTCTTTTCACCCTCTGTCCAAAACCAGAGCCCTGGTCAGTCTGCTCTGATTTGTTAGCTAGGCGGCTCTGTTGTCATTGATGAACCGCTTAGAGATGTCCCGCCCCTTATCCTATCAAGTATAATGTGTTGGAGCGCTAGCCAATAGAAGCACAAGTGTTACATAGTGATGTCACCATGTTAAACAAAGGGGTCCAATCGAGACGTTTCAGACAGGGGGGGGGGGGATCGTGAAACTCCCTCTGAAGGGAACTTTTGGATTATAGCCTTTGCAGACCATTTACATGCACATATTACACAAACCTCTAACACACTACAGGAAAGGAGCACAACCCATAAAGCATAATAGGGCCCCTTTAACATAAAGAAAGCAAAGCTTCCCTTTTCATCTTCATAGTGTGTAACTACTCCTCTCATGTCATCATAGGTCATAACAGAATGTATCTCCCATTGTTGCCATATATTGTCAAGGTTAAGCTGCTTGTACTTTATCTGCTAAAATATGTAACCTTTCCTTTAAATTCAGTGAAAGCAAACACTCCTAAATGCAAGCACCGAGTCTTGAAGAGGGCGTTGCATTTGTTGAGACTTAAAACTGCATCATACAAAAGAGAGAAGTTCACGTAGATAAACTGAGAGCGAACGAGACGTCAGAGCGAAATGAAGGGGCTTTCTGTAACTGCTCTTCCTCGTTCTGTCAAATTGAGGTTAGCTCAGAGAACAGTTGTGCCCTCAAAACAGTTTCCACTTTTCCGGTACCCACCTCAAGTACAGAAGTAAAAGAAAAATATGTGCAAAAGATAATAAGGGCAGAACATTTACATTCAACTACACAGACGAGAGGCAGAGCAAAAGTGTCAGAGGGAGTTAGTTACTGAGCTAAACGGGAAGTATTTCGGAGAGGCACTGAGTTAGCCACCTGTAAGCTACACACACACACACACACACACTGCTTTCAGTGACAGCAGTGAACTGTGAGAGAGGTGGAGGTGAGGTTGTAACTTTATAGATTCCTGATGGCGTCTAGACCTGGCAGCAGAGCGGAGGAACAGCCACCAGCACTGCCTGTCAAAAAGCACAGGTAAGAGGAACAAACTGACTCTTAATAGAAGTTTATGAGTATTTAAAAGATTCTGTTATTGGGTTATCTTTAGATCTAGTCCATAATCCTCAATAAGATCCTTATTTATTAGGTAGTCGGACCCTAATTTGCTTATGCCAAACCTCCTGCAGAGCTTGCACTGACATGTGTTTTTGTGATTCTGTGCATCAGTAGCCGTTCTTCCAGATGCTCCAGTGTTGGGTCTGATTGCCTGATGCTCAGCCCTGTTGGACTCCAGCATCAGAACTACACGAACAACAACGTCTTCCCTGAACCCACCGATTGTCACGAAGCCCAGTGCCCCATACACTACGGTAGGTTTACAGAAGGTAAAGTGACTAAAGGGCGTGGGAAAGTGCTCCATAGTTCTAAATGTCATTGAAACAACAAATCCATCATCTACTGGTGCGTGGTTCTCTAATTCGGATACAGCTCAGAGCGATGGGAAGAGAAACTTCTTACGATAATATGAAGTCTTCTCAGTTCGTCTTTCTCATGAGAAATGAAAGAGAGGAAGTTCAAATGTGAAACTCTTACTTTCAATAACATTCATTTAGTATTCTGACAGATTATAATGAGTTGCAGACTGTTAATGCTGACACACACTCCTCAAACGTGTGCATGTTTATTGCTTTTGCTCACTGACCCAAATCTCTGTGTTTCTCAGATCCCTCCCAACACCAGGTGAGATTTTTCTCCGATGGCACCCCGCCGCCTGTCCCAAAGAAGAGGTTAGCTCGCACCCTCTCCCTCCCTTGCTCCAATCTGCCTCCACTCTCCCCTCTGTGTCCCCCGTCTCCACTGCAAAGACACCCTCAAAACTTCGACAACCCCCTGTACATGCTGGCACCCATACCTGACATGTTTTTCAGAGAGGAGACAGAAGAGTTTAAACCTGTCAGTGGGAGTAACGTCTCTTTACTGCACCTATCCCAGCTGTCCTTTGACACCCCGGATGAACATCTGCCCTTCCTATTCAGTAGATTTGACGACCAGAGGATTGTTTCTCAGGGGATTCAGAATCGACATCTACTGTTTTTGAGAAGCGTGGCCCAGAGTGTGGAGGCTGGGATCCTGCTGCAGGGAGAGGCCTCAGAGAGGAACGTGAGCTCGTACCAGCCTCAGGATTTCCTGCTGTGTGAGGGCAGCGGGCCAAAGCAGATCGGAGACACGCGTTTCTACAGCCTGCACAGCCCCAAGCAACCCGGGAGGACGCTTGGTTTAAGGGTAAGGTTACAACTCTTTTAAATAGAGTACTGTACGTTCTGTATGATAATAAAAAAAGGTAAAATGTTCTGTTGTAGTATTCTCTGTTCACTTTGGGTCACATTGCAATTGAGGTCATCTGCAAAGCGAAGTGGTTTGCACATTGCTAGCAGTAAAACAAACTTGATCTTTATCACGATTGGCAAATGTGACACTGACTTGCGGTACCCGAAACACTTCCTCTAAACTGTCATCAGGTGTCATAACTGCAACAGGAAGGCGAGAGAAGATATATTTTTCTTCATATTTCACAATACATTTTCTTGCAATGCATGTGTTTTTTTATTATGACTGGAGTTTTCGGTCTTTCTGTGCAGGTACACAAACAGCCTGATGAAGCCTCCTCAGCTCACACCAAACACCAGCATGTCAACGTTCAAGATATGATTGCTCATTTCCAAGCAAGCAACACCCTGAGGGAAGATTCCAGTAAACTACAAACTCAAACTCCCTCTCATCCTCTGAAGTCAGACTGCAGTGCTGCTCCACCAGCAGGTGGAGGCAGCACTGAGTGTGCCACAGTTCATGTGAACATTAATCTGCCCTCTGTTCAGTCTCTCCTGCAGAAAGGACTCTCAGTGGGTGTTGAGAGAGACCTTCCTCACGCCACTCTAGAGGACTTTGTCCAGGTTAACAGCTCACTGCAGAGCACTGACTGTGAGGCCTATGACAGACAGGTATGTGCTCTGT